GGGCTTGAACCAAGCACCTTCCAGTTATCAGCGGGGCGCTCAATCACTGCAGCACTAGCACTCCTGTTTCAAGCTCCCATTGCCAGTAAGTCTGTTCCTACCCAGACAGGCAAAACTGCCTACACCTGAATGGAAACCGAGAAGCAGCGGGACTAGGGGGCTAGATGAGCCCAGGAACGTGGAGCAGAACTACATCGCCCCCTGGTGGCCACAGCACAACATCGCCCGTGCACAACTTGTGCCCACGTCTTGCTAGGAGAGCCCCATAGCCACACGTGTCCCAGCCCTTCCCACCCTGTCCCAGGGCCGCCGCCTCCGCCACAGCTCCTCCGTAGCGCCACCTACTTGTTGATCTGGCAGTGTGCGGCCGTGAGCACCCAGTCCTTGTCCACCAGGACGCCCGCGCAGTGGAAGGAGAGGCCGTTGAAGAGGGACACTTGCCAGGCCTGCGAGCCACGCTCGCATGGGCTGCTGAAGGGCTCCAGGACCACGTCGGTCTGGTTTCTGGGGAGCAGAGTGGCCTCCACAGCTGGAGGAAAAAGGGGAAGGCGTGGTCAGAGTAGCCGGGGCAGGCCAGACCCAGGGGGACATCGTGGGATCGCTGGGAACCCGAAGGAGCCCTGGTGGTGTAGGGGTTATATAAGTCGGGGTGCTAAGCACCGAATCAACTGCATGGCTGTAGTTTTAAGTATTTTGAGTGGGAACCGAAAAGGCAGAAAGGAGAAAGACAACGGGATGGGGCGGAGCTAAGTAGGAAAGGGGCGGAGACAGAAGGGTGCTGGGTGGCAGTGGACGGGACAGATGGGTGCTGGGTAGCAGGGGGAGGGGACAAAACATTGCTCTGTGGAAGAGGGCCGGGACAGAAGGTTGCTGAATAGAAGGGGGCGGGGACAGAAGGCTGCTGTGTAAGAAGGCGGGGACAGAATGGAGCCGAATGTAAAAGGGGCGGAGACAGAAAGACGGTGAGTGCCAAGGGGGTGGGGAAAAGAACTGGGCGCTCCAAGAACATCCAGGATGGAACGCAGTGGGCCCAGAGGGGCCGGCATAGGTGGGGAAGTAAACGGGTCCCAGAGGGTGACCAGATGGGGCCAGATGCAGAAGATGCGGGGAGAGGGAGAACAGAAGGCGCTCCGGTGGCGCAGTGGGTTACGCGTTGGGGCGCCAACCGCGAGGTTAACAGTTCGACACCACCAGCCTCTCGGTGCAAAGAAGACCCCCAAGCCTTTCTATTCTCATAGTCACAATCTCGGGAACGTACTGGGGCCGGTCTACCCTGCCCCATAGGGTCACTAAGAGTTGGAATAGGCTCGCGGCAGTGATTGAAGGGCGAGAACAGGGAAGCAGGGTAAGCGGGCAGCGGAATCCTGGAACCGGGAGGAGACAGCGGGAAGGACGGATGGGATGGAGACAAGGGAAAGGAGCAGAAATGGGGTCAACTGGAGCGGACAAGGAGGGGAGTAGAGCCCCACCGCTTCCGTGGCTTAGGGCGGCGAAAGGAATGGGTCCGAGCGAAGGAGTGAGGGGCGGAGAGATGAAAAAGGAGGTTCCAGGGGGCCCTGGAGACACGAGAGGGCGGAGCTAGATGGGGGGGGGTTCCAATGATTAGGGGAGCAGACCCTGGGCCTCGTCTCTGGGAGCCCCAAGAGAAGTGGAGAAGCTGCACGCAGGAGTTCGTGATAAGACGCCCCC